AGCGGCCTCCAGACATGAGTGTCAGGAGCGTATCATAGACGCATCGCCGTTCGACCGGCGAGAGGTGCTTGGCCGGGCCAATGGAGGCCACACGATCACGAGAAGCAGGATGGAACGGTGAGGGCATTCAGAGCCTCAATTGTAGTGAAGGAGGGCGTTTGGGTGCGATCTAAATCGAAAATGACTCTGTGGCGAAAGAAAATGGCCTCCGGGTGTGTGGTGCATCCCCTGTCGAGAGTCATATCTCCCGCGCTAAAACGAATTGGAACCTCCAAAATACAGCCAATCAATGCTGAAATTGTGCTCTGTCTAACGAGTCAATCGGCTGGTCGATAGAAGTATTTTATGAAAATTCCGCCAATCAGAACACAACCGTAGCGATTATTATGGACCAGAGTAGAATTTGTTTTCAACAGGCATAAGTAGTTTTGGAAGACAAAATATGTTGAACGTCAGTGAACAATAGTTTATTGTGACCTCGCGTTAGCTAAGCAATAGGATATCACAACGGACATGCTGAGGCTTCAATGCACACTAACTATACGGCATAACGTACACTCTACGTCATGGAATGAACCTATTAACACACGGGCTTCGAGCGGGAGCACTACGACGTGAGCTATTATAGAATAATAGCTCACATGTAGTATTGAATGTTCCAACGTAGGACGGTTTGCATGACATTATCTGATTATATTGTATATTGCGACATATTGTTTCAACGAGGATAAAGTGAGCAGGTTCATCCATTGATTTGATAGTATATCCAAGATAGATCATGCATGATGTCATGTACTAGGCCGTAGAAATACTTGTCACCCATTGGCTAAAAATTCTACATTTTCTTCTTGCAGGTTGAATTGAGCGACAATATTAAAATAACGAAAATATGGTGAAGTACCACTGGGGACATTTTCCCGTCGTTCCCTGTAGCTTAATGCACTCATTTCGTAACATGGAAAAGTCATGAAGGAGCATACGTCTTGGCACAACAACGTGTACAATATCTTTTACGAAATCCAACTTCAAGGAAATATTCAGAAAAAGATCCATGACTTTCCGAAGGCATCCAATTCTATCTGAAGCACATTACCTTTTGTAGAACGTAAATGCTGACTAAAACAGTACTCCCTCGGTCCCACAATAATTGCGCGACTCAGAAGAATGACGTACTCCTCCTCGAATAAAAATACTTTCACTTCAAGACATTATACTCGGTATAAAATTCACAAGGTGTACCAATACAGCTGTCCAATCAAATAATTAAAAACACTAGTCTCAAAACCAATCAAAAGTCGGAATAGGCCATTTAAGACAGTGCCATTAGATTCAGGAGGGGGGTTTACCTCGAGAACCCTCCTACCGAGCCGTACACCTTCACGCAATACCCACACCATACACTCTTGTAGGTACTTATTCACTACTATTCATGTCTATTGGTTCTATTCCTACTTCGGCGATTGCAGAGATGATATCGTCCGTCGCCTCACAGTCGCTTAGGGTAATGCACTCGAGCCCTCGGGCCAGCGCGTCGAGGCACCGCACCTCTTTGACCTCCGCCCACACCGCTCGTTCATGGCTCCAGCATCCTGCGCGGTCAGCTTCTCCTTGCAAACGTCGTACACATCCGGCGGACACTGCACGTTTTGAGGTAGTTGTCCTTTGCGAGTCCAGTTCTTCTTTTCCCATGTGAGGCAACTTGTAGACATTATCACAAAAGAGCCACATGGTCTCCACAAGGCAGGCTTGTAGCGATAGGAAGGTCCGTCCCAAGCTCTCCGTGGGGTACCCGTCAAATGCTTCGCCGAAGTTTGCGACGAGCTCATCAATCGACCTCGCTGACTACTTTTGTTGTAGGGACTTGATCGCGACAAAGAAACAAAGGTCCGAGATGTTGGTATCCGGGGAGTTTGGCGGCTGCGGAATGAACGAGAACGCCCAGTCTTTCTTGCCGTATTCGTCGAAGGCGGCCTTGAGTTGCGCGTCCATGGGGGTGACGTGGGCTCGGGCATTGTCGTGCTGTAACACCACCGACTTGTCGGGTTTTGGCCATTTTACCGCAATCGAGGGTATGACTTTCTCGAGAAAGAAGGCACGACATGCATCCTTTGCAACCGTCATTGACTTGGTTTCGTAGGTACCAGCTGGGAGGTACGCTGGCACGTTGAGCGAGCACCGACTTCACGAACGGCCACGTGCCTATCTTGTCGTCCCACCACGTGCTGGTTTCGTCGATGTATCTTTGGCTCGCAACAGATCTGAGGAACATCACCCGTGTGATGTACCTTTTGCTTTACAGACGACGACAGAATTTAAGAAGCACCCCAGCTTCGAGCTCCGTGGGCTTCAAGAAATTTGATTGGAAAGCTTACTTCGAAGTTAGTTTAATTTTCTGCCAATCAAAAACTTAAATCAAAATTTAAATTCATATCAAATACCACGAGTATTTTAATTACAGGTCATGGAATGCCAAGTCTGGGTCTTTGATACATTGCAAAGTCGACCAAAATGTCAATAGGAACATCAAGTTACGCAATATATAAGGTTTCAAAAAGTCGCACTGCCCAATGAGTGCACCATGCTAATCCTACACCCCTAACACAATCGATCCCCTCGCATTTCGCAAGCTTTATGGATGAAGTAATAGATACAATTTTAACTTTAAAAATAATAGGTAGCCAATGGTATTGGAGTTATGAATATTCTGATGCAATAGATGATACTGTTTTTTATATATAACCCCCATTGACCACCTTTCGGCGGAGGTACCCTCGGACTGAAATACAATCCCAAACAAGGGTACCGGTCATGTCGATTGGACCCGACTTCAATCCTTCGCAAGGTAAAACAAATATATATGGTTAAATAGATTCAATTGGATAAATTTTAACGTTTTGCAAAAACCTAAATTCCTCACATATGAACATATCATGGCATGTCGCTTCTGCTTCCCAGTGACAGAAGTCACGTAGCCATCTTCATCTTCATCGTCATCACCTTCAATCAAATCTTCCTGCAGCCAAAGGCTTCGTAAGTGGCGCTTGAATGGCGCCATAATGCCAACGTCGAGTGGTTGGATAGCACTCAGTCAGTGCGCTCGATCAAACCATCAGGCACTCCCTTCATGATGAAGAGAATGGGCAACTTGGACCATCTGCTATGATCGTAAGCACAGCAGTCATGCGGTACGAGTGCTTTTCGCCGCTGCTAATCTTGGCGTTTGTCCCACGTTTTGGTCAAATCGCCTTGGGAGGCATATCGTAGTACATGGCGGTTTCGTTTATCATCGCGCTTGGTTGAAATCCGTCGTACGCCGTGTGGAATTCTGCACCGACAAGTAGCCAACTACATCACAGTAAATTTTCTGCTGAATCTATATATTATCATTCGATTGAATGGCACTTTCGACCTGGACATGGCTACTCACCCAAGAGACTGATAGGTACACGAGCGACAGGCTCGGGTCAGCAGTCCAAAAGTTTGTGGCAAAAGCAACGCAAACGTTCAGCATCTCGCCGTTGCGGGGCCAAGTCGATGCCACGAAGCTGAGAATGGGAAATCTCATGATGAAGTCACTAGGCAATTCCACATCAATTGGCATTTTACGTAAACGGTAAGGTGTCGACCCGACGCCCACGCCCTTCTCATGCTTTTGTGTAGCTTGGTCCTTAATCAGGCCAAAACGACGTCATGTCCGTCTCATTTGAATTTGACCGCCAGCCACCATCGTCACTGCCTTCAGTACCGGAATGACATTGGCGGTTGGGAAAACCCTGGACACTTCCTGCAGCGCGACACCAACAATCATTCTCTATTCGGGCGCTTCTCTTCCTGCGGACAGAATATGTTGGACCAAATGGCTCATCGTGCCATGCGTCCGGAAATGAAGTGCTCGGCTCCCTGGGCCACAAGTACTGATGTGTCCCGCCTCCCCAGCCACAGGTAAGCACGACTGACGTCTGCGTCCTGATGCGCGGGGTACCCTTGCTTCATGAGTAACTCAAATGAGAAACACTGATGCATTAGAGATATTAGATAGGTGTCCTGGGGGGTCGAGACAGTGACACGTTGACAGTGGTCGACACGATCGGTGTGCCGACGGATAATTCTATTACTAGCCAGCCAGAGTGTTAAGCAACTGGCCGCAAAGCATATGATCCTCTCATGATCCTCTCACTATTGATGGCACGCACCCAAATCAATATCCAATATAATTTACGAATAATAAAATTGAATGATACATGAACTAATTGTCGACTGCAGAACTTACACTGTCGTAGTCTGATGAGTCGCAAGTTTCAGCATTGCTTTCAATGGCCTGGAGATGCGTGCGAAGTTGACATGTTGCACTATTCTTCAGCCGCTATCTTGCAGCTTCCGATGGCTGAGTCAGACAAGTTGTCATAAGCACGTTTAATCGGAGTAAGAACTGCTGGAAAGGTTGTCGTGCTGGTGTACTAACCACCCATTTTGCCCTTTTCTTTCGCCCACACAAGTTCGACAGGCTGAAAATCCGAATTTCTCGGTGGTGGGGACTCAACCACGTGGCCTATTAGTATTAGGGACGCCATTGTAACCACTTTGATTTCAATGTTGACCTCAAGTACAGTGCCAATTTCGACCACAAAACACTCTTCAAATCGTCCGGCTGATATGATATTTTGTACTGTAGGCAAGCTCCTTGTATATCAGCTTTTTCCACTTTAACATTGGAGTACTAACTGGAAAACCCTTGTGATACTGTGTGTTATCCAACATGATGATGGCATTTCTATTTCATTTTCGCCCAATGCCAGAAAAAGATCGGAAAACCACCTCACAAAATAGGAGTGATTGAATACCCCAAGGTATTCTTTGGTCTCCTTGTTGTCGTTTCGCCCATCTCGAAAAATTTCCATACACAGCAGCTTTGATCTCACACCATTAATGTCAGCAATGAAACAGGGTCGTATATCTGTGTCGGACTCTTTGACTTGCATGTTGGAATCGTAAAACGTTTCAGAGTGGCAACTGTAATGGTGATGAATGTAGGATTCATCGAACTAGACAAAGCAACCACGGCTCTTTGCATCCAATTTGGCCACCTTGGACTGGACATACACATCACGTGCCAAAGCTATCGCTAGTGACAACTTGTAACGAACTACATCCTTTTTTCGCGACTGTACCCATGAGCAAGGACTTGACTTTGAACAGAACGAAGGCAGGCACTGTAGTCAGTTGCCGAATCCAAATCAAAATCGACGAAACGGCGACTATACAGTAGACCCTAAAAGTCCTTTGCAATAGTGCGGGTGCGTGTTTTGCGTCACTGCTGAACAAATTGTCGCTCGATACTATGGACGTACTGGTTCCAAGGAACATGGGTTGCATAGACAGTAGCGTCACGTCACCGGGAAGTGGAGCAACAACAACAGACTTTTCGATCATGTCTTCACACCACACTTCTTTCACGATTCTTTCTCTGCGACCGAGCATTCGACAGATTTGAACACCAACGAATATGGCTGCAATGTGATGGAGAAATGCATAGAGACGCAAAATGTCGAGCCTATTCACCTTTGTAAGGGCACGTGGGCGTCCGCCTTGACAATTGCAACGATTTGTTCAAACACGGACGTGTTCATTGCGCAGACTGTAAAATGACCATCAACTGCTACGGGTTTGCTTGCCTCGGTTGTTTTGTATAATCCTTCGACTATTTATATCATTCGGTTACGGGAAAACATAATTTATGGGAGGACTTTAAGTTCCACAGTTGAAATTGACTATAATCCTTACCTTTCTTCGAGCATACATCGAAGCTTGCCCGGTTGTTGAGTACTTGTAATCGATTGCTGGTATGAATCATACTATCCACATACAAAATTTGTGATAATTTTGTTTTTGATTTGATCAAATTATGGCCTTTTGGTTCCTCGATGATATCGGTCACTGTGAACAATATACGTCCCGATACGGTGGTTGCAAGTTTTGGGAGAGACCTGAACCCAGGACATCACGTTCCAAAATTCGACGATATCTCGATTTCTGTGTGGAGGCCGCAGCCGGCGGTATGGCCAAAACGCAGCAAATGAAGGCATTTACAAGGCCAGGCACTGATGGCTATTGCTACCCATCAAGTACGGCCTTGGTAGTGGTGCACCGCCATGTTTGTGTTGTACCAACGCTTCAAACTTCGTGCTTGGGCTGTCGTTTGACGAAGTCCAGTTTTCGTAGTCGTAGGCTGCGTTTGGTTCCGCAGGGGAAGTGGAGGTGTCATGGCTGAAACCATATGGCTCATGGCTCAACAATTCGCAGCGTCGAACTCCAACCGGTGACGGCCCCCGCAACATGCCCCCCTGCACACCCAGACTAGTCCAAACTCGAGCCACGCACTCTGCTCGCTTCCTTTTCGTCGTGTGGACTGGAAAACCCACCCAATTCGTGGTCACATTCCACCAGGGCATCCCAGCGCTCGGTCTTCAAGCAATGCGGATATGCATGCTGCCCCGTCAACTATTCCCCACCCCCAAGTGGACTAGACGAGAGCACAGGTTCTTTGGCAGGTTTTACCTCCATCTCTTGAAGCAAACGTGGGTCGAAACCGACGAAAATGAGCTGAAAAACCTGAAAAACCGACGAAAGATTCACACGATTGAGGTCGCCTCGAGGGAAAACAGGTGCGCACCCAACCGCAGCGGCTGTTTCTAGGAGAAGCAAAGTCGCGTGGGAAGTCTAACGGTGCTCCCTGTCTCTTGGCCTGTGGTATCTGTTCGAAGCGTGCGATCACCCGCCTGTCTCGGCATGACCCTCGGCCGTGTCGACCCCCATCAAGACACGGATCCTCGACGACGTCGATATGGTTCGAAGGATCGATTTCTCGTGGGGCACGCGAGGCGCTCTCAGCGGCAATCAAATGGAGCGTATGGGAATGGAATAAATAGATTCACGAGTTGGCCGGAATGCCTCGAAACTCCTAAACTCTGATCCACGTGGCGTGCTCGACGACGTTGGTGTCATGCTGGTGATGACCTGTCGCGGTCTTTGTCGTCGCGGGTGTCCACACGGAGCCAGTCGCGTCGTCGTCACGAAGCAAGTCGCGAACCATGGCCCAATCCGCCCAGTCGAGTTTCCAAGGGGTTGGAGACGACGTGCAAACAAACTCGAGCGGTTCCAAGCTACACCCTTGTTCGACCGCGTCGTTGATTTGGTTGAGCACGTGGCCGTGCTTGCGAATGGCTGTGGTGTGGCGCGCGCAATACCCGCCCGCGCGACGATAGTGCGTGCACCCTTCGAGGAGGCAGCTCTTGCGCGCGCCGTGGCGAACACACCGACCTCGCGCGTACGCTTGGTTGCGGCAATGCGGTGCGTTGCACTGGCTTCGGTTGCGGTGGAAGATGCACTTGGCACTGCCCGCTTCGACAGCATTCCGACACTCGTAAAACAGGCACTTGATCATTGTCGAGCTAAAGGGAAAATGGAGCGAACGACGATCGTCGCACCTGTCGTCACGTGGTCAGGGTTACGTCCCCTGGCAAAACAACAGTCCGGATACGGGAATTTCCTCTACATCTCTCGAAACGCGGGCAGCCATGGCCAGAATGTCCTCAACTGGCTCGGCGCATACACGAGCGGTGCCACGCCCTTTGCGTGGCGGCGAATTGCTTGTGCGCGCTGCGGTCGTTGCTTGTGCCCTTCCCTCGCGTCGACGGTCGACTTGGACGTATCCGGAATCCACGTGGGTTTACGTAGGAGGAAAATCTAGGAGGGGTAATCCGACCATATTGCCCCTACCCCTTACGCGTACAGGTGGCTGACCAAGAAGTTTTATGGTCGTGGACGGCGCGTTTCAAACCGACTGGGGTAGCCATGACAGCGATGACGAGCTGCGCTTGTGCACTCTTGGAGACACACACGGCGTGACTTGCGAATGCATCTTGTCCGACAGCATGCATGACGAGGACAGAATGGCGCCAAGCAATCGACATGGTCATCGCTCGAGCCGCAACGGCACTTCGATACGCACGCAAAACGAAACCCGCGGTGGAGCACCACTATATCTGAACACTGTCGCGTCCTTTGCACCATAAAGCAATGCGGGCTTGAATGGTACGACAAATGTCGAGTGGGGAACAGGTGGTTTCAATGTCGACGTGGCGCCGAGTTGCTGTAAGGAGCGTACCAGTGTTGCGCACACGTGGGGTCAAGAACATCCAAATGTCGGGAAGGGGTATTTCTATCACATTGCCAAAAGGCCCGTCCCCAACTTCAACAAATGATGGCAAGATCATGTCTTGTTCAGGTATTGCTCATCGACGAGTCGATGCCAGAATTATCTTCAAGAGTTCTCCGTGGAGCGAGGGCGGCATGATAAGGAGCCCCCCCCAATGCAGCTATCTTGAAATGTCGAGCAGAGGTCCCGCTTGGTACAGTATACGTACGCAAACATGCTGGAGGATGTCGCGTGCGGAAGGTCTCTACCGAAATTCTCGAAACAGACAGCAGGGGTTCGCACACATGTTGAAGCCAGCAGTGCTGCGTCGCCATGTGGGGGCATTCGAGCCGCGATGTTGGCCGCACAGCCCCCCCTTGTGAGGGGAGGAAATTCCTGTGTATGCCTGCCATTTGCGTGTACCCTGGATACTATCCGATATCTGATCCTTTACAAGAGTGGATGGGTTAAAGCTAGATGGGAATTGGGACGCACGGGAGGCACTCAGCGCGTCTTGGAAGGAGCCTGCCGACACTGCTTTGTCACGTCATGGGGGGTTTGGCCGTCTGAAGGGTTCAAGCAGTGCTGCAGTGTTGAGGAATAACGTCGTGTAGATACGAGTGACCTGTCTTGCTTCTCCCCCTCGTGGCTTGGACGTGGTGGGATGGATACCAGATCATATTTGTCCACCTAAAGGAAGAACTCAGCCGCCCACTTGACTGTCGAGTTTCGCTTGGATTCCGCATGTTTCGACCGCTGATGCTTGAGAGCATGTTGTGTAAACATGGTCCCTCGTGAGCGCAAGAAAACCAACCTGCCGGGGTCCCAATTAGGGTTTTGTGGGCAGGGTAATAATGTAGTGCAGTTGGCGAGGCAAGTTGCCGACCGTGAGCACAGAAAACGCATCCTCTTTCATACAGCAGCGACTTGCAGGTACTGGCATGGAGCCCCACGTCACCGCCCCTCCCTCGCACTTCTGCGTGCCGTGAAAGCAACGTCGCTCGCACGATGCATGACACCAAGCATGATTCCGTTGATGGCGTCCAGATCAGTGTTCAACGTTCCTTTTGCTCGATGCTATAGGGGCTCGTTCCCCCACACGGTTCAGCACAGCAATGCAGAAACTCGTAGACATTTTACATGCGGGTGGGCTGTTTGTACCAGGCCATCATGTTACGCTTGGGTGGCTTGGGGCTAGCGTCGAGGGTAGAGTATCCATGTCTGAATGGTGTATGTTCTCTTGGTACATTGTTAACACGGATAACATTGGGAGGAATGGCATGCAACAACAGCGAGTCACATCGAACAGAGTGCGCTCTTTCCAACCCGATCGTTCTTCGAGGGCTGCATGTGCACCTCTGTATCAATGGCGCCTTTCCCCACCAACCTGAAAAAGGGGCTAAGGCCGCCGTAAGAACCACGATGCAACGGCACGTATCCACAGAGGAGGCGAAAAAAAATCTCGACAAATTCAAAGTTATGTGAATGTGGCATGCAACCCTTCATCAAGTTCATCCTCCTGTCTGAACGGCTTCATTAAGTACACTCGTCTTTCTGTGTCGACGCTGGTCTTGCGAATGGTCAAGAGATGTGCCAGCTTGCTCGACATGCTTCGGGCATGGGCGTGCGGAATGCAATTTGAACAAGGATGCCCTTGACCGTTCCGATCCACTTGGTCGCCCCCTCACGAATCTCGAAATTGTGTGGCGATATCCTGCAGTGAGGGGGGAATAAGCTCAGTTGGCAGAGCATCGGTGCATGTAGTCCCACCGGTGATGGTTTCGATCCTCGGCACCTGCGACGTCTTTCTTCCATGGTATCCCCCTCTCCCCCCACGGAAGATGGAAATCCAGGGCAGCATGCGAATTCGAGGTCTCGAGGACTGCCAAGCACAAAGGACGAAGCAACGTCATCAACAAAGTCTGCAAACCCAGGTTCAGCCAACAGAGAGGCACAGCCAGTACCACCAACGTGAAGCTTGGGCCACGGCCTACGGAGCAGTAAATTCCAGACTCGCGATTCCCCAATAACTTACGTACGTTGTACAAGAGACTACTTCACTTACCAAGGATGATATGACCATGCCATGCGAACACCGGATCGTCTGAAAAAACGTCAGAGCGACATCCCGTGCGTGATGTGCGTGGCCAAACCACATGCATGGCGTGTGGCACCGTCCGAAATAGTCGACGCACATCGCATCCGAACGATCCACTCCTTTCCTTCGGGGGATCCCCACGTCAAGCAACGGCATGGCAGTCGCCGATGCAGGGTCAATCGCGACAACCCCTCACGTCAACAAGACAAGATATCAAGTATTCACACATATGCCCTGGCACGCTAAGGAGAACGACGGCAGATCCAACACAGTGCGATCTCAGAGCTCAATATTTCTTGGCAACGAGCTTGACAGAGCGGCCGTTCAACGGCTGCACCGGGCGCGAGTTCGGGTGGTGAATCACGCTCTCCCACGCCTCCAACTGACTCAACGACATCGTGTGCACTTCTTGCAGCACGCTCCACTCGACGCCTTCGGTGTATGGCTCCGTCGTCAGCGAGCCTGGGTAGCGGTACACGTTGCTATCGGCCACATCGAGCGACGACGGGTCAAGCGAATCCAGAGTAAACTTGTCGCCGGGCTTGGTCAGTTGGCTGAATCCGCTCAAGTATTGGTCCAAGAACGGGTTGGGTTCATCGTTCGGGTCCAACTCGAACAAGATGCCAACGACGGCCAAGTTTTTGTTCTTGTCTTGGTGCACAAAGTGCACTTCGAAGGGGTAGCGCACGCCGCCGATCGTGTGCTCACTGGGGGCGTGGGGGTGAAACTGCACCGAGTTGTACACGTTGCTGTTGAGCTTCAAGAACGACTTGGCGCCAGCGTTCCAAGTCGCCTTGACGGTGTGGTTTTCATGAGAAACGACGGCGGGGGCAGTATCGAGCTGGATGGAGAAGCTTCCTTTGTTGGGCACGACGGACAAGCGGGGGAGGTTGATCGGGGACTGGCGGAGCTGGGGCACGGGCTTCGGGGTGGTCGCTCCCGATGAGAGCGCGACCACGGCAGCAATGAGTACGGGGAGGAATTCATGACGCTCAAACGAGGCAAGTTGCGTTGTGATCTGCGGGTGGTCCCTCAAGCCTATTGGCGATAGTGCCACGGCAGAGGTCAACTCAGGACGTGTGGCATAGCATTGCCACATGCGAACTGACACCTTTTCGGCGACCGTATGGGTTGACCCATCGGGAGAGCATGGATGCGGGATAGAAATCATGATCCACGAATGGCATGCTCACGGCAGGCAGACCATTCGTGTTCATTGGCAAAAGTTTAGCGGCCGTGGAGAGGCGTGGACGCGCTGGGATTGACGAGGCCAAAGGGTACCGGTTTGAAGCCGACGAGCACCCTTGAGCAGCATCTTCTCGGACTTCTTACACGTACCTTGGCTGCCTCAGCGATATGTATGGTATCGCTCTCGTCGAATGTTCTTAGCACCAAGCGTTCTCCAGTCTACCGCTCAAACGATCGTGCAGGGTCTCGTGGATCGTTGCTTCGACGAGAGGTGCTGAAGCTATTGCAGTCTAATTCCGCCTTTGGGAGCTAGCAGGGAAGCTGCATTTGCAGCGTCCGCTGTTGCAAAATTGCAAGGAATGACCGTGCGCGCACACATTAGACGGGAAAACCATGGTTTGTGCAGGCGACGCTACCCTGAGTGAACTAGCTCAGTGTAGTCCGCGCCGTCAAAGTCCCTCTTGAACTCTGTCGACACGTACGTAGTGTCAAGTCACTCTGTATTGTTTGTGCGTCCTCCCCACGAGGCTGTCTCCAGGTAGCCATCCAAGCGTGCATTTCATTGTAGCGGTGACCTGTTTAACCTTCAAGATGAGCACGTTGGTAAAGAGCATTCAACACGCTGTGGATGTTGCGTTGTTGAGCAATGAATTCGTGAAGTGAGCTCAGACAAGGCGAAAGGCAGCCATCATTGTGTGATGGGCTGCCATGCCTCAACTTCATGGCTTGAGTAAGCAGTCAAGACTGTGTATAGGCTGAGCCATGCAGCACCACCACGACTTGACATTGACAAGCATCCAACGCCGCAAATCCAAGTGCACAACTCGCAGATTCTCCTGCCTGGTTGAACATTCGAACGGAAACCATCATTTGGATCGACTGCACATGGACTTCTTTCGTTCGTGCTGGCTTCGCTGCACACAAAGTTGGAGTGGCACGTCGTCGAGCAGACACGATCTGCACTCGACGTTCTCCATAGACAAGGGTGTCGTCGGCGAGCCCGAGCACTGGAACACATTGTTTTTATTCACATTCAGGATGCTTGGGCTCAACCCGAGATGTTGTACTTGTTGCCGGGCTGGGTCACCCCGGTGAAGTCACTGACCAAGAGCTTGTAGTTTCGAGGCTTAAACTCGATGACAAAGTCGAAATCGCCTTGGTGCGATTGTGGCATGGTGCGATTCTGGCATGGGTACGTAATTGTTGCGATGACCCCAACAGAAACGATCAACACCTCTTAAAGTTTCGTGGTCCGTCCCTCGCATGAGCCGGGGCGATTCACCAAAATCGTCCGACAAGGCCGAACTTGCCAACAATTGCCGAACATGCATACAATTAACGTAACGAGCCAATTTATGGGATGCGCCAATTTATGGGCAGGTTGTGATAGCCAATCAAATTTCAGTAGCAAATTCTCTAGAATTAAATACCTGTAACATTTTGTGTCACGAAGTCAATATTAAATGTGCAGGGAGTCAAGAAGTATCCGGAATTCAGCGGTATCCGGAATTTAAAGGCGCCAAGCAGAATGACCACACATACTTAACACTCTCATTCAGGCCACATGGCCGAGAAGCGCAAGCAGTATGATGAAGGCGACCTTGTTGCTGCAGTAAAGGCCTGCCAAGTTGACGAGACCGTTGCCAAAGCGGCACGGCAGCACCAGGTGCCGAGATCCACGCTGCAACGACGCTTGGAATTTGCCAAAGAAGACCAGGTACTTCAGCGGCCTGGGCCGAAGCCACGGCTGCCTCCTCAAGTCGAGGACGACCTTTTTGTTTGGATCGCGCGAATGCAAGCAAAAGGACGCCCTCCGACGCAAACATACGTGGTCAAGAAGGCCAACGACTTGGCGACAAAGCTTGGGCGCCCAAGAGTTGGTCGCCACTGGTACAGGAAGTTCAAGAAGCGCCAGCCCTTGCTTGTGCCTCGAATGGCACAAACCATAAACAAGTCGCGAAACGCTGTCACGAGCGAGAATATTGAAGATTTTTTTG